TTTTGATACCATATAAATGGTTTTGATTTCATTCCAAGAAAACTATTCTTTCAGAGTTAATAGAAGGGGCAGCAAATGGAACCACTGCAGCTGTTACTGAGTTTGTGTTGCCTCAGAGTTTGCCCATCCCAGGGGCTATACTTTTATGACCGAATCTCAGAAAGTTACTTCTATTTGTTTCTTGTTTGTATGAGTCTAAGTTTCTTCACTAATGGGCCCGACGAAACATCAATTCTTTCCTAGATCCTTCAAAAATTACCTTGTCAGATTTATATTACTGGGAATCGTATCAACAGCTTCCTGACACCAAGGCATTCCAACAGAAATTGGCAATCTGTTAATACTATCCGTGAGGTTTAGTCACTTTTTGACTTCACAGCTGCACTCATAGGAACAGGTTAAATGTAACTATGAGCACATTTTGCATAGGTAGAACTGTATTTTCCAAATCTGTCTCCCAAAAATGAACCAGCATGAAAAGGGACACCTTCCAAAATTTCAGGCTTGATTAACAAACAAACCAGTAATTTAGCAGTCAGGCTGATATGAACTAAACTGAGCTAAATCGGAAATGCACTACTGCATCTTTCCAAAGTTACTACTGAATTCTCCAGTTTTACTTACTTTACAATACGATAAGTACATTCTTAAGCACATGTATGTGAGTACGAAATGATGAAAAGCAATTTTCATTTTTCTTTTTATCCACCAGATGTTATTACGATGAAAAGAAACACCAAGAACCAAGAGAAGTGCCTTGGAAACCAACAGGGAAATAGAACTTATTACCTTTATAACATATTCCATTGTGAACAAGAGATTTATTTTTGCAGATTGACAGATTACTTCCCATAATTCTTTTAACATGCATTTTGTATGTTATCAACAGTTTGCAGATTCTTTACAGTAGCATAACTGCCAGTAGTACTTAACACTCCATACTTAAAAACACACCTTACAACTGATGTGTAATGCTGCCAAAAATTATGTAAACACAAATATTTCACCAAGAAAATTGATGTTCTGTTGCTTAATTCTACAATTTTAAGGAATGTTTGTTTGTATATCTAGAACTAAAAGATCTGCTCCACAGTAGTTGTGGTCACTTGATATCCTTCATGCTTATGCAATTTTTTAAAAGTTTGGTTAAAACAGACTTGCATTGGGGTCACATTGTACCCTAGGAGTACAAATTGCATGACAAACAGGAACGTAATTCCAAGTACACATATTTTTTTGGGACAGTGGAGCATGGATTTTGTACACAAACACAACCTGCCATTAATTTACTTTATATAATAAATGTATAAAACATTCCAGCGAACGTGCAATATGTAAATACTGTAAATAACAAGCGTAAGTAATAAAGTGTTTGGTATTAAGTTGTTCTCAGTTTACTTTCTGTTCACTGAATCCAGATAAATTCCAGTAGGTACTATCATTTATCCACATTTACACCTCTTTCCAATAAGAGTTCACTAGAGTAAGAAAAAAAGGTACACCCACCTCAGAGAAGTCCAGTGATTTGGACACTCTCGGTGGATTTGTGAGGATGGACAGATCTGTGTGTTCCAATCCCACAAAATGCCCAGACCACCAGGCTGCTCCAATTCTCCACAGCATTATAAATTTGAATCTTTTTAATGACAAATGGTTGTTTTGGTTTTTTTTTTCCCAAAAAAAACCACCCTGCAGTCTATCCATGATACTGCAAAGCAATATAATCAGTAAATGCCCAATAAATCATTTTAGTATAGTGAAATTTTTAAGGAGTCAGTGAACACTTTACTCAAGCTTTGATACCCATTTCCCTTTCTTCCTTAAACCAGATATTAAATCCAGTTGTCATAATAAAATGGCTCAAATAGGAAGAAAATATGTATGTGTGATCTGTGTACTTTTATCTTAATACTGGCCTTTAGCTTACATTTTATCCTCAATTCAAACCACAAAATGTAGAAACAAAATCAAACACACCCCTCCCTACCCTGAGAAATAGCTAGGAGCTGGGATTGTTGAAATTCACACTTAAGAGCCTTCAGCATCTAGCTCTTCAGAAGAAACAAGAAAAAAAATGTCAGAAGTATGAAATCCCATCCTAGAACATGGCTGTATTTAGTAAGGGAGAAGTACTTACTTCTTATTTGCTGTCGGTGATCACTAAATGCTAAGGTTTAATTTCTCAATGGAAGGAATACATGCAACCAAAAAATTGGTAGTTAATCTACTGCTACAGGATTCACCTAGCTGCTCATCTGCAGCAAACATGTGGCTAGAACTCTGTGCTTCTCTGTGGTTCCACTGACTGAAATCCAATCACAGCATATTATTTAACATGGGAGTTTAAATTAATATGTCTTTCTTTTAGTAGTAGGACACCTGAAATCTGGTTAAATAAAAACTTGCTAGAAAGTGTCCTTGTAAAAGGAAAACAACAATTTATTTAATGACTTAATAAATGGATATAGATACATTAATCCAGTGGAAGTTTTCTCTAGATTTAGCAGAAGTCAGCGTGCTTTGACAGAAGATACAACTATAATATAGCAGATTTTTTTTATTTAGTCTTGGGTATAAGCTTACTACCTAAACAAAAACAATCCATGGTTGGGGAGAGGGCGAAGGAGTCAGTTCTACATTTTTTTCATTCAACATTACATTTTTCATGAGTGATATTTTAAATCTGTATGAGCTTAGTCATCTGTATGATGCACAATTTGTGTATTAATCCTATGTTTACTGTTTCACTTGGAACCCAAATAACAGTACTGTGCCACTGTCCTTCCTGACAGCAATTCCTGTTCTGTATTCTACAAATTCTTTTAAATACCATGGTGCTCTCCTTCCCCTCCTCCAAAAGAAACCCACTGAGGATAAAATCAATCAATCAGCTTTTTCCTCCTAGTAGAGCTAGTGAATTATTTAGGCAACAGATTACTTCCTGAAAATATACCTCAAGGCCGAAACTTATAAAATCTGAACTGAATTTAACACAAATAGTTTTGACTTAGTATCACTTTACAGGAAGATTCCTAAGCCTAGTGAAGGTTAACCACCATACCCTTTAATCTCCTTTCTGTTATTCCAGTAACTCGAAGATAAAGATTTAAGACTTTTAAATCTTAACTTTAATACGTAGGAAACTATAGGTTCAATTCCTGCTCAGCCTTGAATGGGAAAGCACAAACCATCACATTCTCAATCTTCTGAGTTATTTTACTTTTCACTGGAGTATTTTGAATGGTCATTCTGGCAAAAAAAATAGCATTAGAATACACCTAAACACTTCTGAGGTTAGTACATAAAACCACATTTAAGATGGTTTGTCCCTAACTGCCCATCATTTTCCGTCATTTGTTTTGTCAAAGCCATTCATAAAAGAAATGGAAAATATTTTTTTTTCTAGAGTCAGTGCTCAATCTGACCTAAAATATTATATACATTACTCTTTGCCCCTGAAGTGAAACAGCTATTAACTTGCAAATTCCTTGCCTGTTCTTTAGAAGTTAGAACTACTGGTAATGCAATAATTTCTGTACATTCATAAAAGAAATGGAAAATATTTTTTTTTCTAGAGTCAGTGCTCAATCTGACCTAAAATATTATATACATTACTCTTTGCCCCTGAAGTGAAACAGCTATTAACTTGCAAATTCCTTGCCTGTTCTTTAGAACTACTGGTAATGCAATAATGCACAAAGATGCCAATTTCTGTATTTAAGCGTTCCATCTACCACTTGCCTTTTTGTAAGCAGGTGTCTTAAGTTTTACATCTGATGGAAATTTTAACACAAAACAAACCTCACTAACACAAACACAGCTATTCTACAGCAGGAGTCCCAGGAAACTTAATCACTGTTGTGCAGGCTGCAGCATATGCAGAGTGACACCAGGATTCCTCCTTCCCTGGGTGTAATGGGGTCCTCTCTTGAAATGCATCCCTCTCCCAGAAGGGAGAGTGGGTGACAAATACTGAAGCTATTCTACTAGTTTGGAAGGCAGACAGAGGCAAAAACAAGGCTAAATAAGAAAGCAAGTTTTACAGATCCAGTTTTTACAGATAATGTGTTAATGCTAATTCACATCAATGTTGGTATTATTGAAATTAGGAAAATTATCATGCTATCCATTACATTACTGATCTCAGTAGATTTACATTTCTAAAGCAGAAATGAAAGGTGATGTTCAAACAGGCATGGATTTTTACAAAGCATTCAATTTTTGTCCAAGAGCAGCACTTTCTATTTACTGGCCTTCTGTTAACTTTGTATTACATTACAGACAGACTGTCTTCAGGTTGAACTATACTCTCAAAGAACACTTCTGACAGGCTATCAGTTCTCCTGAGTAAATCTGAAAATGTTGTCCGACACTCACATAGGAACTAGGATTATAGCAAATTTCTCATTGATTATATTGCATGTATTTGAGTATTTTACTACTGTGTGATACAAAATGTACATTTAACATTTAGCCTTTCACCCAATGTGTTTGTCCTCAGAGTAAATGCTATGTTGCGTGGACTTGTATCAGTGTGCTAGGAATTGACCACAAGACCAGAGGAAGACTAGCCAGAGAAGTTCTATTAACATCAATAAGTACTTCTGAACTGAGTTCATCTTAATGAGTATAAAAATGTGTACCTGAACAGAACTGGTTTCTGCTTTGAATAACTGAGCATTTAAACTCATATAAAAACCCATTCTCACAGGAACCTGATGACACGCACAGGTTTTGCTTGCTTAAGCTTTGAAACAGTGCTAAGAGCAATATCTGTCCGGGGGCAGGCAGTTATTTTAGTCTAGCAGGCTCAATATGAAACAGCTTCAGTCCAAAGGTTGTCTAATGATACTTAGGATGACACGCCTAAGTTATCATACATGAACTACTATCCCGCAGACTCCCACTGAAAGTTGATTTAAATTAACTCACTAAGGGCACAATGAGAATACCTCAGTTTAGTTAGTATAGCACATAAAGAAGCAAGACATTACTCTGTCAGTGCTTGTGAGAAAGCACTGGAAGAGTTTACAGATAAATTTATTCTGAATTATATACTTTATTATTACATTGATGTGTGACAAAATGATAATCTAATCCAATTAGAACTTTTATATATATTTTTAATTAGATGACAGAAAAGCTAAAATATAAAATTAAACTAAAAAAGTTCTGGACCTCCTGAGGCATAATTTTACAGTTTAAATACACCAATCAAGTAAATCTTACATATTTCAGGAGAAGCTAATGATTTTCTTTTAGAAATAAAATGATGAAGCATTAATGAGGCTTCTCCAAAAATGCTTTACAGCATCTAACACACTGCTCGTAAACAGTTTCAAAGTCCTTTTCATTCCCCTAGAAAAGAACAGAGGAAAAAGAACGTAAGAACAGCAATACTGGCTCAAACAAAAAATTCTCGGCAAACTAGTTTCCCACTGTCAGTAATGGCAAAGAACTGACATTAGGAAAGGATAAGAACAGTGCAAATACTTGGTGATAGTTTTTGCATATTTCTGCCTAATTTGAACTACCTGCAGCTCAGGAATTTTCACAGCCAAACACTAACGTTGCACTCAACAGTCCTGGATGAACTTTTGTTTACATATTTCTTCCATTCACCTTTTGAGCTCTTATAAGCCTTTTCTTTTTTTGCTTTACGTTCACAGTAACCTATCACGTTGAGTTTCACAGTTTAATGAAGTACTGGATGGAATAAACCCAAAATACCTCTTTTTTTATTTTTTTTAACCCACTTCCCACTAATTCATTTAATATTCTCTACTTATTGGATAATGTAACTTATTCACCTTCTCCCATTATATCACAATTTTATAGAACCCTACCATACATTCATCCACTTCTCTTTCCTAAACTGAAGAATCTTAATCTAATTGGTTGCGCTTGGCTGATATTATTCAACTTCTTTTACCATCTCTGTCCATGTCTTTGTCTCTCTCCTTCCTGATAACATCCTCTTTGAAAGGAGGCTGACTGAGGGTTTCACCCAATACTGAAAATATAGGTGCATTGCATTATTTAAATTTAAATAATTCTTATAAGCATAAAGGCATGTTTTCCCTTCCTTTCCTATCCCAATAATTTATATTGTTTAGTTAAGTACTTTAAAAAAAAAATGTTTACACTTGGCTTTATATAACATCAAATTATGTGTCACATGTCAACTGTGGAACCTGGAAAGATTATATACCAGACATACACAATTTTTGATCAAGCCACCCAAAGAATTTCATACACATACATAGTATGGATCTTCAATGATAAGTTGTTTCTGTGGATCATAACTTCCAAGCAGTTCGATTTTGGCCTTGCAGTCTTGAACTTGGTTGCTTTTCCTTTTCAGATCTCTGCAGAAGAGAAAATAAAATTTTCCCATGAATTTTTCTTCAGAACTTCTTTGGCATCAGCATCAGATACTTATGACCGTTTCTAGAGAACACAGGAAAATCATATGCATCTGGACTCAGTCAATTCTGTGGACTCTCTATGCTGCTGCTATTTTTTTTCTTGTTGTAGCCTTTTATTATAAAAAAAAAAAAAAAGTCTAACCATTTTCTTCAAGGTTTTTGGCTTACCATTTAATGGTATGTCCCAAATCTTCCTCTTCTGATGGAAGAGATGCATTCTGTCAAGACCTGGGAATCAGCTTGCCCTCCTAGTGTTACGAATAGGCCTTCCCAGAGAAAATGGTTGAAGTGGGTGCAAGTTTAAGGTGAATCGTTAAGTGTAGCAGTGGCAATACCCCTATTAGAGCTGTGACATTTCTTCTGCTCTACAGCTCATATCATATAAATTGTTAAAACAAAAGATAAATTGTTAATACAAAAGTAAGTTTCCATTTCATTCCTATGTGATACATGCCACTCACGAACAAACCACTGAGTTCTAGCGCATTAAACTTATTAGAAGTGAAGAATTCATCTATTAGGATACCATTCACACACATACAAAATAAAACACCAAAACCAAAAAAATACAAGACAAGCGAAGCAGTAAAACATGACATCTGTCTTCAAAATGACTTATGAGACACCACTACAAGTAATCCATATGAATTTGTTCCATTTCTTCATACATTACCTGAGATTGCTCTCATCCATGCAAAGTATATAATCAAAGGTCTGGAAATCTTCTTTAGTAACCTAGAATTAAAAATATGTGCTTTAGCCTACAAACAGCATTTGATTTATAAAAAGGGGGAAAAAAACGTATTTTCAAATTTTGTAGTTCTGATTTATTGAAAGAGACACAGGTAGAAAGAATAAAACTGTGTACCTTCATCAAATTTTACAATAACTTAAGGCATTTTAAATATACTCTGCTATGATTATTTACTCATTTCTGCAAGTTTTCCACAAAAAAATCCAAGTTAGCTATTTTACCAATATTTTTAACATACAATTTATCAACTTAGAACACTGTTACATGGGAAATTTCTAATCCTTTCCAGTTACTAAAACTAAAGCAGGTTTCCAGTCATGGAAACTATGTAATAAATATGTAGACAAATTACTTTCTCCATGAGAAAACAAAGATGTAGGTAACCTGGAATCAGTTTTAGTATTTCCAATCTAGAAATTTGTCACACTACACAGAAAAAGATACCAAGTGACATTCAAAGCTGAAGTATGATGGTATGAGTTACAATCTCTTAAAAACAAATGCATTCACAGTATTTTAGGCCAAGTTCACAAAACTTACGGTATGATGTAAAAAAATCTGGGGAACTACTGTACATCTTCCTACCATCATACCATCTGTTCCTTTTCTTTCCTGTACCTTACTGACTCCTGAACATGAATACTAACTAAATTCAGAGATCCAAGTTCAGAATCAGGTAGGCAAACATTGTAGATAAACCACCAACATAAGGTCTAATGTTATCTGTATTGGAATAAGGATGGCTGCAGATTTTTACCAGTATAATTATATTTCAGTTTACATTTAAGCCTTAGCTTAGGGTAAAATCTTCCCAGACCATGCCCACAATGCACAGTATGCTAGTGGAAGGTATCTGAACCAAATGTCCATAATGAAGATGAATAACTGGAATAAAATATATAATGAGTTCACATTAAGACTGGATTTCACACATAGTCCTGTGAGTAGCATCATGACCAAGAAATTTGGAAAGTTTTTTCAGTACAGGTTTTTCTGGCAGGCATCTCTGGGAAGGATGGGCTAGAGGAGTAAGCAAGTGAACAGACAAAAAGGCAAAACACATTATACTGTAAGTCAGAGTTTTAACTTGTAAAAATTATTTACATATTAAAAAAAGTTTTAGATGGCAAAAAATCCACTTAATTTTTGTGCAAACAGTGAATACTGATTAAGTTCCCATAACAGGGCATAAGAAAAGATCTACAGAAATTATCACCAAACTAAAGCCGTAAATGAAATATTCCACTCAAGGAGAACTGAAGGGGTGGGCAGGGGTTAGGGGTGGGGCAGCATTTGAAAATTTGAAAAAAAGGGTTAATGGTGAAAACTAATGCAGACTTGTTTATTTTCACTGTAAAAACATTTGCTGTATTCATGCAGTGCCTTTGACCTACGAAAATATTTTTGGAGTGGAAATAGCTCTGTTTTCCTGGCAACTCTAAGCTGTACCTCTACAAGCTTCTTCTGATCGCTCTACACAGCTGAACACTGGCCCCTATGAAAATACATGGGCATAGACTTCCCTGTAGTACAGACAAATGTAAGAATAAAATAGAAAACAGTGAAAAGGAAAACCACAACTGCCACACTTCCCACACTCTCTGTATACTTGACAACTTGACAGTTATTACCCTATGAACCAGCACTAACACAGTTGCAAATGCAGCCCTAAAAACAAGATTACTGGTTGGCTTGCGCTCTTAAGCCCAGACAGTAATATCAGATACAAAAAGGTTAATTAAGCAAACTCCAGTGAACTGAAGATATTCCTCAAAACTATGAAAACTAGTATTTTGGGGGAAGAAATTGAGAACATAAAAATCTATGTACATTTTGAGAAGTGGAGAGCTTAAGTAGTCAGCTTTGGATGGAACTACACACACACAAATAATAACTTTAATAATGGCTATATACATTTGTTAATGTAAAGACCATAAATGGATAAATACATTATCATTCCCATTTATTTGTTAAACATTTCCCTTTGTTTACAGAAGGGAAATTGCCTTTTCTCTGTCTAAAAACTGAAGAGAGGCAGTAGACCTCAAATTTATCTAGTTGTGAAACAGTGTTTAATACAACCATCCTCTAATCTAAATTTCATATTTAAGGCAAACGCACAGTATGAGTCATACAGAAATCAATTCTGGCCACAGCATGAATAAAAGTGAAACTGATTAATACCCATCAGTTTCCTGCACGAAAACTAAGAGCTTAGAGAATTTCAACAGGTGCATAAACATACTGCAACCATCAACTACTATCAACTAAAATCTTGTTAAAATGTTAATAAACTCTGTATTTTATATATATACATATATACATTTATTTTTATACTTCACTTTTCACTTAAAATTCACTAAGACAATCAATACAACAGTAGGATGTAACCAATTTAACACTCTCTCTTACATAAATCATTCTTGTATGTCAGTTTTGAATAAAAAAAAGATGCAATCGATGATTATCATAATTATGCACAAAATTACATGAGAGAAAGTGCCTTTCGCTGGGTGGGTAACAGTTTTCCACAGGAGTGAAGAGGATAATTGCATGAGGTTGTCATCTTATGACAGTATTTCGAAGGCAACAGAAGACAAATCCCTCCTCTCTATTTCTTCAACTTCTGTATTAAATCTTTCTTAGTTTGTTCTAAAACAAGTTACACACAAAATTCTGTCCTTGAGATTTCTTCTAATAGTGAAACAAATACACTTCCATTTGTACTAGCCTGACCACTCTGACAAGTCCTATGCTAGCTGACGAGTCCCTCTCTTTCCAGAAGTACTACGAGACCATATCAGATCTACAGTTTAGAGAATCAGCAGAGACCATTTGACAGAAGTTTGAAAAAAAAAATAAAAATTAAGAGTTACATAGTTAAGATCAGTGCACAATGAACAGTTACCTGTAGTTCAAGGATTTGAAAATTTTCTTTAGAAAAGAAACTGCTTGTATTGGGATGTTTAAAGACAAATTTTCATCCTTTTGGTCTTTCATTTCATTGTCTCAATCTTCTTAATTTTCTCTCCCTCTATATATAACAGTTTAGTCTCTTCTGCTTTAAAAAATCACTTCATTTGGCAGAATGCATACGCATATGTCTTCATTAAAGTGTTTTCATGCTCTCTGCCACAGGAGGATATAGAGTTTTGTTTCAAGGCAAAGGATCAACTGGTTTTGTATGCTTTGCTTTAGTTTAACTTCTCATAAACCACTCCAGTAATACCCAAGAACAGTTCTCAAGTTTCCAAGGCTTATCATTTAAGAATACAAACATTTTTACAGTACTGTGCCTGAAACACTGATGATTAGTTTCAGTACCATTTAGCTTGTATACTGACAACGCTGTATGGAAGCAGTAAATCCAGAGCTTGTAACAGGAAAAGATCACAACAGACTTTTTCTAGCAATTATTCTAATAGTAAAACATTGAAAATCTGAAGCAAGGCTGTGCTCAACCCTGTTTGTCTTAGTATATAACAGAGATTAGCATCAGGAAAGGTCAGCAGAGGGCAACTGACTAATTGATGGTATTTATTTTAAAAAGTTAAAAAACTAAACATGTAGTCTTTGAAAGTGAAGAAAGTAAATACGACCTCAGTAAGGTCTAGCAAAATTCTGAAGGGAACTGAAACAGAAGATAATAACAAGACTACTTGATCTTTTTGTCAGTACAATAACTGGTGGCATAAACTCAAGCTAAGTAAAGGTCAAGTCCTAAAGGAATATCTTATACCCAGAGAATAGTTAACTAAAGTAAGTTATGTGCATTTATTTGAGTGCCTGAATTATTTAAATAGACGCAGATACATTTATTTGCAATCTCTCTAGAACGTAGCATGGAAATGTAAGTTCTTTTGTGATGAAAATCAAGATGAGTTTTGGTAAAACTTAGAGGATTTCTCTAAGTGACAAACCTGTCTTTGACTTAAGAATGCTTTAAGGGTATGTTTTCCTCTAAGTTACCACCAACTGTGCTACTAATCTCAGGTTTCAGTGCTTTTGTTCTAATTTAGCACTCTAAATTCTTTTAAAAGATCTTCATGCAAGAGAAGAAGCTTTTTGTGATGGGTGAACAGCTATTCTACTTTGCTTTGAATCCACTAAAAAAGGAATATTCCTTGCTGAAAGAAGTATCCCAGATTACTAGAGTAAGTCAATTTTTAAAAAGTATTAAGAAAATGTTTCATAAAAATGACCAAAATTCAAAACATTTAAAAGCAAGATTTTTCTATAATGCAGAAACCATTCCAATGCTTCCTAATTATACTTCCAAGGAAGCTTTAACAAGAAACTCACTAACCTCAACTAGAAGAGTTAGGTCACTTTGGAGTCCTTCAAAAAACTGCACATAGTACTTATTACTTGATGCTTAACCATGCACTGGTCAAATGCCTTCTGTGACTGTAATGGTTAGGGCTAAACAAAGAATGGGTATGAATAAGAAAGAAAATATACTCTCTTCTACCTGCCGTGCTTTATGTACTGTCTGAATGTCATGATTTCTTAGACAGCTTAAAGCCCTTGCATCTGGGGAGCGCCCCACGTTCCAGTCTGAAACGGCAGCACTGTCTGTCATCCACTGTAACAACAAAACAAATACATACACATATTTAAAGAAAATTAAAGTACAGTACCTGCCTGGCAATATGATTCATGGTAATGCCATGCTTCTTCATGCAATTCTGTCCTCGATAGTCAGGAGGGCTTCCTATTTCATAGGTAGATGTCGCTGCACTGTCTATCCTCCACTACAGAAAAACAGATTTATATTTTTGTGTTTCCTTTCTCACAGCTTATTTCTACTAACTGGCTATGAGACAATTATTTCTTAGGCAGGAACAGAAATAAATAGCTTACCTTATTTTCAACTTTTTCATCAGTTACAAGTTTTCTAAAAACTGCTTCAGCTATTGGAGAGCGACAAATGTTTCCTATAAAAACAGGAGATCAAAGTGACATTTTCAGATTATTAAAAACAAACAAAAATCAATAATTGTGTGGATTTGTCAGCACTGATCCAGTTAAAGTTACTTAAGTAGAATTCGGTTTGCTTATGTTATTATAACCCAAGAGATTCTGCAAGGGTGGACACCCAGAGTCCTGCACCTGGGTTGGGACAATCTCCAGTATCAATACAGGCTGTGGGATGAAGGGATTGAGAAGGACTGCGGAGAAGGACTTGGGTATTCCAGTTGGTAAAAAATTGGATATGAGCCAGTAGTGTGCACTTGAAGCCCAGAAAGCCAACCGTATCCTGGGCTGCATCAAAAGCAGTGTGGCCAGCAGGCTGAGGGAGGTGATTGTCCCCTTCTGCTCTGCTCTGGTGAGATCCCACCTGGAGTACTCCGTTCAGAGATGGGGTCCCCAGCACGAGACATGGAGGGGTTGGAGCAGGTTCAGAGGGCAGCCACAAAAACAGTCAGAGGGCTGGAACACCTCTGAGTGAGAACTGGGGTTGTGCAGCCTGGAAAAGAGGACTGGGGAGATCTTATTGCAGCCTTTCAATACTTAAAGGGGGCTGTAGTAACAGGACAAGGGGCGACAGTTCTAAAGTGAAAGAGGGTAGATTTATATTGGACATAAGGAAGAAGTTTTTTTCTACAATGAGGGTAGTGAGACACTGGAACAGGTTTCCCAGAGAAGCTGTGGATGCCCCATCCCTGGAGGTGTTCAAGGCCAGGCTGGATGAGGCTTTGAGCAACCTGGGCTAGTGGAGGGTGTCCCTGCCCATGGCAGGGGGTTGGAACTTGATGATCTTTGAAGATCCCTTTCCACCCAAACCATTCTACAATTCTATACTACCCATCAGTCTTTTGAAATGTATACTATTATATGAAAAGATATAACTTCTTAAAATAAAAAGGAGTATTGGGTAAACACACTGCTCTTTTTTTTTTCTACCCATCAGTCTTTTGAAATGTATACTATTATATGAAAAGATATAACTTCTTAAAATAAAAAGGAGGAGTATTGGGTAAGCACACTGCTCTTTTTTTTTTCTCCTCCACAAAGAATCCATGATTACAGAAGATCAGGCAAAATTACAGAATTTAAATGGCAACAAATAATCTTTATCTTCTATCTGCCCGCACACTGGCAAATCTGAACTAATTATTTACTAGAGAATATGAATGAATATTTGTCTGAAGCATTTACATTGCTACCTACCTGTTAACAAGAACTTTTGGACAATTCCAAAACACAGCCACCACCACTGTGGAACCAAGGTAATGAAATGACTTAGCAACCTGTAGTAGAAAATCTTCCAGACCACTGAAGAACCCTTGTCAAGAGCAGCTTCCAGATACCAATTCCAAAACACCAGAAAAATAAATCAATTACACAAGCTCTAAAAACATCTCAGGAAAATAAATTTTCCAAATTTTTTGTTCAAAATGTGGAAGGTTAGGAACAAAACATAACTGATTGCAAAGCTTTAGTGCTGTCAATCAGCCAACAAACAGTTAAGGTACTTAACTGTATAAATACGTAATCAGTCTTCCCTTCCAAAGGCCTCCAATTGCACTAGCTGCTTGATCTGACTTTATTTTCAATAAGAACTTATTTTGACAATGAAATAGTGTCCCATTAAAAACTAGAAATAATGGATCTATAGCATTTTTGCTCCACAGCTAAAGCTGTACCTGTTTACCATCTAAGGTACACCTCTCAAACTTCCATGCAAACATTCATATTCTGTGAAAAAGAACGAAATGTCTCAATAACAATAAAAAGACTTCAACTATTACTTGAACTCCTTCTGTCTTTTCATCCTTCAGAAACTCTTAGTAACTAGATGGATATTCATAATATTTGATATGTCACTCAGATGCATAATAAATCGCACAAACTCTTCACCTTCCATCAAAAAGAAGAAAGACTTTGCTCATCTCTGACTTTTGAGTATATAAAATATCACAAAGGGCAACACTCACTTCTACACTTTTAAGTAAATCACTCTTCTACTATTGATTAAATTCTTTCCAAATCGCAAATGGTAAAAAAAATGAAATACCCATGAACAAAGATGAACTTCTATCAGACAAAAGAAATTTTCAGATTAGGCACTTAGCTTTATTTCATGCCTGTATTTTCAAACAAAATATCAAGGTAGATATTTTACTGCTAAAGAAGCTGCTATGATCTGGGCATTATTAACTCGCTGTCAATCATGCCAACTATAAAAATAAGAAGTGGGAAGTAAACTACTGAATACAAAATTGTCAAAATTTTGAAGAACATCAAACCCCTAAATGGGCAAAAGGAACTGGCTAAGCATTGAGAAATGGATCTTGCTGAAACACAGAGTGAATTTTGATGGCAGTAGATCTTCTTCCAGGAAAAAGTATACTATTTCCTTTGTTTGAACTACTTTATTCCAAGCAGAGAAACTAAATCAGACTTGGAAGAAAAATAAAGCAGGGAGAAGTTGGTTTCATACATAAAGTGAGAAAACAAGTTAGTACTTATTAATTATGAAAAAGTTAAAGATTATGGTAATAAATTAAAAAAGAAATCTCACTTCTTTAATTGAGTGAGTTAAGCATTAAACAATATAATTGTAATAGAAAACAGAGGGAACATGGTAACATACAGCATAAGAGAGAAAACAACCTTGATAATCAGTGAACCAAATCCTTTGATATTGCAGGCATATACAGCAACACTTCTCTTACAAACACATCAAGCTCTCTTTTAAAAAGCTTCATCTATCTTAACAGGCAATTCCAGAAACTAATTTCCTGTGGTAGCCAGAAACCTTCCAATTCCCACATAATATTTACTCTTGGAAGTCTATGCTCATCTGATTTTGGTTAACATCAGTCTCTATCTTAAAAACCTTTCTTTCCTTCAACAGGTACAGAACCTTTGTCAAACACAGGTGTGCTAAACTAAACAAACGAAGGGCTAAGTCTCCTCATGAAATTTACCAAAATTTATCTCCAGTTAAGATAACTCTGCACTTGTTCTAACTTGATTTTTCTTGAATACTGACAAATAAAACCACACAGCACACTGCAGGAAAAGTTTTTACCGATTTGTTTTATAAAAGAAAAAAAAAAGTCTAAAATATTTACTTAGCTCTTTTGAAAATAACCCAAGATAACTTCTACAATCACATTTGACTCTTTCATGAGTATTAAATTTGCAATCATAATCCCCTACTTCTAATTTGTCCATTCCCTCTCTTCCTCTGTTACTTCAAACAGGTGACCTTTTGAGTCTTCCTTCTAAACTATCAAATTCTGTTTCCATTACACCAGCCATTGAGGCCATCCACTTCTTCCTGTGCAGTCTTTTTCCTCTGTATGAACGATCCCATGCAACTGTGCGTGAACAGTAAAGTTTCATTGCTACACTCAAAATTTCAGTAATGAACAAGGATTAATACTATTGCTCCTACTAATTAATTAACTAGCTCCCACAATTTCAAAATGGTACTTCTGAAATAATCCTTCATGGCTTTTTTTCTATTGGTTTAACCCTCTGCTTTCCCTGGATTCAATGACCTGTTCCAAATTTTCACTCTTTTATAACCTGCTCACTATTTCAAATAAATGCCATAAATATAATCTTTGAGGATATCATATCAAATATAATAACGAATGACACCATGATCACTGACTGATTAAATATATTAACTATGACTTCCAGCAATAACTAGAAACTCGAGTTCTATTCTTGTTGAAACAAACATGTAACCTAGCTTGCAACTTAAAAATTAATATCTTCCACAATGACACATTCCAGATATTACCGGAGGTATTAACACTATTACAGAACTGCAATCACCATTCAAATCTATTCTTGGGGACTATGGACCAAATCCCAGAACTGACTTAACAGAAGCTATTTTCTCTGCATACTCTGCAATATTATTTTCATCCTAACCAACTCTGTTTACCCATGTTACTCCTTGCGACTGTTATAATTCACCTCATCATTAATGTAAAGCCCTATCTTATCTCACTGACATATGCAAACATCAATCCTTGTCTTCCAGTCACTGTCCCTTTTCCACTATATTTTCTATCAATTTCATATCCACTTTTACATCCCACATGTCTCTCCAGGCTTTGTTGAGGTTCCTCACAGATACACTATTTCTGGCATTATGGTTTGACAGCCATAATTGGGGAATGAAGGGGGAAATCTCACAAAAAGATTCATAGGCAGATTACCTTCCTCCTTGGACTTGAAATACATTTTTCTTAAATGTTATCTACACCTTATCTTTGCTACCTATCCTCCTCAGGTGCTCCTTTCTCCTTTGTTGGATTTCTGACTGACCTGATCATGCTCTTTAATAGTATTATCTTCTACACAAAAAGTTCTCTGAATCTCTATCTTCTCCCTTAATTTTTTAAATTTCAAGCTCTTTAGTTGTAATGACATTTTCAATCACAGAAAACTGTACCCAAGGTACCCAGACAGACTCTGCCCACTGGAACAAATCCTACAAACACCTCCAAATATGACTATTCAAGGATAACTGACTTAACTTTCAATCACAGAATGAGTACTAGAACCATCTGTTGATCACTTTTACGGAGTCATGCTTTCTCACCCATTTTCTAGGAACAAGGACTCCACTGATGGTTATCCAAGCCAATACTTATTTTTTGAGTTCTTACTCTAGTCTCTGCATTAATCTTTGACCCATTCCCATACAGAAATGGAAGCATTACTCCTGTTGACAGGAAAGACAACTTGAATCCATTTCATGCTCAGATCCATAGCTCATCTCCAGGTACTGTTGACCTAATCATCGATTCTCTCAATCGCTTTTTTTTTTAATCTTTTTTGTTCCTTATTCCTTAACTCGACTGTCTCAGCTGAACCCAGGACAGCTCTCTAACTCCTTCAGACTTTCCCCTAATGCTTTTCTCTTCTTCCTTTGTTTTTCAGTCTGTTGTTTGTAACAGAAGTTTTATTACCTTTCATGCTCTCACATCTAAAAACCTGCTTTTAACTCTACTTATGTTTCCATGCATGATCAGTTCATCTGAGTGACTGCAATACTGCTTCCCAGTATTATCTGCATCATCCATCAGGTCCCCTTCATAAGCAAGTGTTTAAAACTTGCTCCTCACTCTATTCCATTCTGTACTCAAATTTCTATCTGAACTTCATAATGACTCCTAGATCCCTTCAGTTAAGTCCATCTTGTCACACTCAGCATTCAGTTAGCTTTGTAAGGAACCATCCTGACTGTAGTCCAGATTCCCTGGCCCTTCCCTTCACAGTTAATGTCATTGAATACTTACACTCTTTATCTGAAACACCTGAGCATACAGCTACCTAAGTGACATCACCTAACTTCCATACATCCCCCCCACTACCAACACACAGTGGGATTTCTCTCAGAAGTCAAATATTAGCATACTTGTGTGTGTACATATATATCTAAGCAGAACTTAATTTTGGCTCAAGATATCTAAATGGGAACATCTCCAGAAGCCCTAGGTTTCAAAGTCCCTAGCCAGTCAAGGTTGAGTCAATGTAGTCAATGTCAATAGCAACATGACTTGCTAGGATTCATCGTAGCCAAACCATCAGATAATTAGCTGAATGTTCACATTTTTAAAATCTTTCCCTGCAGCAAGATTATTTATACTGAGTTATCAACTACTGGAACACTATGCTTTTCTCAGCAACCTAAAGGTTCCCCAGTAAAAATAAAAGTTTTCAACACAGAAGCACCTACTCGCAACAATCAGACTCTTTAACATTTTTAAGCATACATCTTAATAGTATTTTCCAATTCCAAGATCACTTTTACAGCCATGCTTTCAACTCTGTAGTACCTCTGCATCATTCTGAAACACAGATTAAACAGGGCATTGTATTCTTACTGCTATCATACCCATGCTGCACATAAGGTATTTTCCTTACATTTATCTAACATTCACTTCTTTATCCAAAAAGTGGCATGATTTCTTTTTGTCAGCTTGCTAAGAACCCTCGTTACAGCAGCTGTTTTCCATGACTTCTTCAATATCTTACCCAACCTATTGCTTTCCCATTCTGCAGCTATAAATGACATTTTGTCCCATAAAATACTGCATTTGGCTGCATCCAAGCACGTATAATGGATTGTGACAACTGAACTAGGAAATTCAAATCTCTCTGTAACTGTAACCTAGTTTCCTCATATCCAATAAATTGTCATTTTAGAAATTATTTTATACAGTCTAGATTTCTGATGGCAAGATTCATACTCAGTGGTTCACAAGAA